CTGAGAAGTCCAGGGGTTTGAAAGCTTTTCTGGGGCTTAAAATCTTTAATTCCTCAAAGGGCAGGTTAGAGTCTACGGACACCAGTCCCACTGACTTGACTCCTGCAGCAGTGACAGCTACAGCACATCAGATCAGGCAGGTGCTCTGCGCCCTTCCTAGCCTGGTCTCTTCTTTGATTATCAGCTGCTCAGAAGGACACAGTATATCAGCATATTTACCTGTAGTAACCAGCTTTGTACCTGTTATCAGCCAAAGAGCCAGAACTAACCTATAAGATACAACATACTTTGGTATGAAAACTTATCATGACCCTGGCCACAACATTAAAATGAGATTTTTCCATCTAGAGGAAAAAGAGCAGTTTAGAAAGTGTTTTTTAAGAAAACATTGATCTGCTATATATGGTGGCAACTGCTGTGGATTTTCAGAAGAGTTTTCCAGCTTGCTATTTTTACTGCTTATGCTTCATTTGTTTATTTCTTTTATGTCCCATCAACTTAAGAAAGTGACAGCTAGGCTTTTCACTCCTGTTTATGTTTAGTTTCTGGCCAATTTCACCATCAGGCACTTGCGATGAAAAACTCAAATTAAGAAGATTCAAAAGCTGAGTTTAAAAAAGAAACATTTGCTACTGTGCAAGAGCCTGCAGCAACAAATCTGTTACTTCACTAAAAGAGAGTTTTGAGGATTCACATTAACTTATACACCCCTCATTTTAAAGCAAAAGTATCCCTGTCATATTTTGTTCTAACTAGCACCCGTGTTTTATAGCAGATATTAAGTGTGAAAACAAAAAAAATGGCAAATACAGCCATTAAGGTCCAAGTTCCAGGATTTCCCTCCACATTGGGAAATGTAAATGATTTTCAAGTACTTAATAGAGTAGAGCCATTAAACAAGCAAAACTTTAAGCCCTCTCACTGAGGATTATTCACCTATGGAGGGAAAAAAAAAAGAAAAAAAAAAAAAAAAAACCCGCCAATTTTAGGCTTGGAGTTTATGCTTTCACCCTAGATAGCATTTTATGTCCAAACCTACGGAACAGCAATCTATATAGTCATACAGTCTCTTTCACACAGCAGAAACAGTGAATTCCCTGGGTCCCCAAGGGTCCAGACCCATTTGATTTGCAGCATCTGTTGAGGCACTAAAAGCTAACTTGAAAGTTACACAGTATTTTATCACACACAGGAAGAGACTTCTAAAGCAAAGAGCAGAAAGCTGTAGCTACCTTAAGCAGATTTCTCCCGTCTCTGTTATGTTTGGATGCCAGATTCTTGTCATGCATTTTACCTTTGGAGGCTGCCAGGAGAGAAAACAAGTCAGTGTTAGCCTTCAAAATAAAAGCAAACCACTGTTACAAGTTACAGAACTGAAAAGCCAAGCATGTTCGATAGCGACAGCCTAAGGTGCCATATTAAAGAGCCTGATAATCTAGCTTGGGGAGCACCAGCCTTCTGTCCTTTTAGCTTCTCTTAGCTCTTTTACTAAAGCTGGGCTGGCATTCAGCTGCTGCTTAAGAAAAAAGGCAATTTTAAAGGAAGCCCAATCCCTGACACGGCTCCCATCTACTCTGCTTCCTTCAGGGGAAGGAAGCTTTCCATGTTATTCAGGTTCTTGACATTCAATCATCAAGATAAAAAATTAAACAACAGAGCTACATTCTCCCCTTCTCAGCACTTATTCAAGTTTTGGGTGTTTGCTAAAAACAGCACAGGAGCTATCACTAACAACATCAAAAGAACAGTTTCTTTTAAATAGAGACCATCCTATTCATAAGCACTCAGAGAAGTATGAGGAGCACTCATCCTCAGACATAATGCACTAGTGCAAAAAAGATTTATTTTAAGGCGAGGTCGCCATAATCCTAAATTCCACAGTGGGCTTTGTCCTTAGTCTTAAAATACACTCTCATTTGCTCTGGTTGTGTAAAGTAAATAAAGACTGGGCCATTAAAGTTTTAGTAGCTTAGCAACAGCACATTATGCCAGCCCCCTTCTTCAAGCTACAATTTGCAGCTTTCAATCAAGCAGATATTTCTCATAGCAGGTACAGGGGTCTGTATCAACAGGGGCCGGTACCCTTCTTAATTTCAATTCAAGTTGCAGCACTCGGGCTGCAGGGCTTCCCCTCTCCACTGCTTCCCACAAAATCTGCAGTCGGGAGACAAACCAGCTCCAAGGGCTCTTTGCAGGACCTGTTTTGTGTCTTTGCTTTCTTCTCAAATTCCCAGCATCTTAGCACAATATTTAAATACATATTCCCAGATCCATGGGGATGAGATGAGCAAATATTGGTGGTATTAAATAATAATATACCTGTATGGCAGCAGGAAAGTGGAATAATAAAGAAACAGCTAGCATTACAACCCACCTACAGCTTGTAACTGAGACTTTAATGTTTGCCCCACGTACTGCACAAAACTTGGTCATTGTGGGATACAGACTGCCCAAGGGCTGGGCCACCCCACCAGGGAAAAGTGGTACAGAAAAAGCTCCATCCATCTTTTTATCTATAAAATTGCCCAGCATTCCCCTTCGTACTCCCGTAACAGCCCAGTCTTACGCCTTTATGTTACACTGTTTTGAGAGATTCTGGCCAGTTCTCCAAAACCAGAGGAAGTAGTGGTATTTTTTTCCCCCCATACCTGTAGCTCAAGACAAAGAATTTCTAACATCCGTGCTGATAGCCAGCAAACACAGCAATGAGTGAAGAAAAGTAGGCTGCTTTTACGCAGACCAGTCATTTCAAAACCCAGTCAGATCCTCAAGTTCTTTTTATAAGGCTAAACAGAAAGATAATCTTCAAAGTGAGTAATTCATTTCTCAATTTTTAGTAACATTGGAAACAAAAGAATTTATCTTTCCCTTCCATCAAAACCCAAAGCGTCTCATCTGCAGAATTCAGAAGAGAAAGTCAGTCACTCAAGGCCATGAAGAAAGAGTTCTCTCCGAGAACTGAAACGCTATCAGGAATTCATTGCCAGGCAAGACCGCCCTTTCGCAGGCCTTGGGCTCCAAACCGCCTTTGAGTCTTGGTTCTCACCACCAAACCTGCACGAGAGCTCCGTGAAGCAGCTTTCAACCGAATGCTTCATGTCACAGGCACACTCTTACTCGGCAGTACCACCATCCTGCTCCGAGGGGGGATTTGCCCCAGGTAACTATGGAAGCTACCCAGAGTAATTGCTGTGCTATAAATCCATTTGCTGCAAGATATACAAAGAAGGGACCCAAAACCCCTTCAAGCTTTCTGCTTTCTTCAAGGTCACAAGAACCACTCACCATGTGAAGATCAGATATGAAATACCAGCCAGTAAGTGGTGTTAATTAACACTTGCAGACCTTGATCAGTTGGGAGAGTGTAATAACTTTTGAGATACAAGTGTGCCAGTATGCGTACGGTTCAGTCTTTCCTGTAACTGTCATTTTTTCCACTTCACAAGATTTCTCATGGAGAAATAATGAGGTTCCAGCAGAAGTCTGAAGTCTACAGTGTTATTTCTAATGCTTTGTCTAGACTCTGTATGCTCAGCCCAAAACATTCTTGTAAACTACACAGCATTAATGATTCCAGTTTTTTTCCTTTACAATTTCTACAGAGGAAAAAAAAAAAAAAAAGGCATTATTAGGAACACCCATTATGGCAACCCAACTATAACCTAGCTCTGCCCTACTAAGCTGTTAGTTGCCAGTCCCTCTCCTTTACCAGGCCCTGACCATTTCTGAGACAGGCTGAAACCAAGCACAGCTCATATCTCAGAGAGATGAGCTAAGGGGAAAACACAGCCATGCTGCTCTGGGCTTTAAATGGACTGTGATTAAAGCTGCATTACACAGCTCAGCAAGCTGAAGAGCAGCAGTGTTACAGGAGTGAGCCTTAAACACATACAAGAACTGCACAAGCCACGGTATCAGAAAGCTAGTTTTATGTCAAGGCTCAACCTTATCTATGTTATTGAAGTCAGATTAAACACGAGGTCCCCAATCTTGCAACATCCTGGTTTCAGTTGCATCTGAAAGCAGGAAAGAAGCTGTCTCTTGATAAAGAGATCTCCCTGACCAGTGCAACTTCCACATTTCTTCCCATCTGCCACTGACCCCTGTTTCTGGGCAGCTGATGAACCAAGGAGAGATGCTCGGGCAACAGATGCTGCAGACAGATCTTCCAAACGCTCCTGTTTTCCAAACGCTCATGAGTATGCAGCCTATTTCCTGAAGAGGATAATGCTTTAAAATGCCAACTGACAGATTTGTCAACAGAATAAAAATAATGCTTAAAATCTTGGCTGTGAAGGGAATTCAAAGGCAATGGAAGAGTTCACGTCTAATCTGGATTCTGCACTTGCAATGCCAGATATTCCTAAGCTTCCCAAAGGGCTGCCAGCCTGGGCTCCTCAGTGCTGAGGAGAGCATGGTTCTCCAACAGAGGCTGCTTCAAAAATTGAGCCCCGAAGCAGTGTTGGGTTGAGCTCAATTTCCCATCTATATTTAAGTCACTGGAACACTCTCCCCCTTGCAAATATATTTCAGAGGCAGGCAAGAACCAGCAGCTTACAAGGAAGAATGTAACCAAGTTCCCTTCTAAAGGCATTTTGGGGACACAGATGGGATTTTTACATTGATGGTCCCTGGAAAGCAGAGACCTTTCCATTTAGGACCATACACACACTTGTGCCCTGGGGAGCGCAGCCACTTCTGCTTCCTCCCTTGGGAGCGCAGGAAGCATCACCTGAGTGCTCATGCGGATGCCACAGATAAAGGACAAAATCCCTCCGCCTGCCCCATTTCCAAAAGGCAGATGGAAAGAGCAAACAGCTTCAATACTGAGGCTCTCTGTTGAAGATTCCCACCAACACATGAACAGGAAAAAAGATGAGCTCAATCCTGGGTCTGCGCTGCCTTCGCAGAGCTGCAGTGCAGGAGAAGGTTCCTGCTGGGCCACAGCAAAGGCCAGGTCCGTTTCATCTGCGCTGAACCAAACCACCCACCCCAACATTTGCTCAGTTCTAGCAGTGAGTTCACAGCAGTGAAAACTTCATCGCTGCCACTAACCACCCTGAGTGCACAGTTCCAGTACAGGGAAGAGCTCTCGTCTTTGGGGAACACTCAGCTTCAGAAAGTCCCTTGGGGAGCTCTTGCTGCCGCTGCTCTCCCCTCCTCAGCCTTTTTGGAAACCACAAAGCAAAATGCAGCCTACCAACCTGCAGGAGTGGGTGATACAATTAAGGTACTAATAGCACTGTAATGGGAATGTACCCAAACCTTATGTCTGAGAACTGACTTGAAATAACCCCCTGTTCCAATTTCTCAAGCTCAGTTGCTCTCCAAAATTACCCACCCCTCCAGCAGCTTAAATAGGTTTAGCCAATTACGAATTTACTGGAAGAACCCTCCTAGTCTTTTATTGCTTTACAGAAAATTCTAATAAGCCTTTCTGCTACTCAAGGACAGCATCTCGGTGATTTAGAAGCCCCTGACTAAACCCTGGCTGTGAGCTCCGCACACAAGCGAGTGGCCGCACTTCAGAGATCAGGACCCAGCTTCCAAAACATCCCTGCTGCAGAGCATCCCTCGCATGCTAGAGGCTCCTGCATCTTTGCACCAAGGAATTGCATAGCCTCGATGCCAGAGGCTGCTGCATGTCATAACCAGGCATCAGTAAGGCATGAGGATAAGCCACCTCTCTGTATTCACAGATGCACTGCTGGTGAAGGGAGCAGCTCAGGCCTCAGCAACTTGCTTGCTGGGCAGAGCACTGTGCCATGACTGCAACTCAAAAGCCTTCCAAGTCCTTCCCCTTTTTAACTATGGATTTTTATCCTCTTCCACTGTACCACTGCTCCACACCTCTGTTTCTCTTTCTAGTGAAAGAGCTCAAGAGGAATAAAAGGCAGGGGGGGAACTCCTCAGAGAACCAACGAACACAGATTTTTGGCAGCAGCACAACCACAGAAGTTAAAGGATGCTGTTACAGAAATCACACTATAAATTATGCATTTTATAGCTTTAAAAACAGATGTTCTTTTTTTCCTGCAGGCTAAAGAAATTAGATAGAAAATGCAGGCTCTGAGGCAGAGCTCTAATGACTTGCTAGTCCCGCCTGGTATTTTCACTCCCTACTAACAAGCATCTTCAGGAGCTCAGCAAGGGGCCTGATGCAGATGTGTGACACCCCAGCCTTGCTTAGGGGCTTAAAAAAGCACCAGCAGCTCCGACATGCTCCTTTAAAGACACTGCCACCATTGACTTCAGTCAGATCCTGCCTGGCAGGAAACGATGGTCTCAGCACAACTGCCTCAATATTTGTGAATTTACATGTTTTCATTAATAACTTGACCATACTTCAATCTACTCCTTTCTTCACTTCACAAAGACACACCTGCAGAGCAATGCCATAATTTAGAAAGCCTTAATTAAAACTGAGCACCAGCCATAACAAACCAGAAGAATTTTTAAATACCACAACTTAGAATTAAAAAAGCCCCATTCTCCTTTCAACATGTAATGAGTAGTTTCCCATAACAGGGCTGTTGAGGTGAATACCATAAACAGAAAAATTAAGAAGATAGAATGTATATACATGGCATAGCCTTCCCTTCTGCTTTAATTAACACTCAGCATTATTCCAAAGCTATTAAGCTGCTGTTACTGAAGAGGACTAAAAATCAGCCACCTGAGTGATGGGTATGTGGCAGCACAGTTTACTCACGTTAGAACAAGGATGCAGTCATTTTAAGTTACCAGCTTTGTATTTACAGCATGTGCATAAACACACACACAAGCTAATAAAATCAACCTGTATCACAGCTTGAAATTGAGGTTATGGACAACTTAAAAAATAAGTCACAGCTGCATGAGCTTTAGCTCGAACACCTACACACACTGAGCTCCTCAAGCAGTGTTATTTTTCCCGTTGTTACCATTTTCAAAGCTAAAGAATCAAGTAGGACAGAAGGACTCATGCATCAAGCAAAATGGTCCTTTGTAGGGGGGACTAATCAAAACTGGCTCCCTGAGGCTACACCAAACAGAAAATTTCTACCAGTAACGGAGTCCACCAGAAAACATTGCTAAATGTTGCCTGTTTTCCATGACCAATATTTTGAAGGGAGAACATGATTTTTGGGAAAGGAGGAAAATTCATAGCTGTATCAGAAACATAGCTATCCTCCACAGGTGCAAATTTTCAA